GCATTTTTGAGCCTGTATCGATCCCTTGTTGAGTACAGAGGATGGATAAAAAACATTTAATCTCACAATCTAAGACCAAAATCTTTTTTTTAGATCAGATCAGCCACTGGGATGGGCTTAGGTGGGGTGGCTGATATAAAACAATCTAGCAACATTTGATTACGGGCTTATTTTCTAGCCACGATTCATTACACAGTGAAAATAAAATATTGATGTGAAAAAAATCTTTAAAGAGAATTCAATCTTTTAATAAACTTGGATTTAATTTCTATTAAATTCATTATATTTGTATAGTTCATATTGTTAATATTAATACAGTTTGTACTGATGCCCTTTGTACAATCTCGGTCCTATTTTTCACTCTTCTTTGATATTTTCTTCCATTTGTCTGTCTGCTAACAACAACCCATTTTAGGGTTTTGACTTTATATACATATAGTTTAATGTGTATTTGTGTTCTGACAGCCAGCAGACCAGGGGCTGTATTCCTGCCACCTCCACCATCATTACTGCGGTCTCCACGAGAGAAGAGTATTTCAGGTCACAGTGGAGCCTTCGCTGGTTAAGCCAACAATGCCGGCTAAATCACCGCCCAGCGAAGACAAGGGTAACTCACAAAAACACAAACACACAGTCTCTTTCTTCCTGCTCTTGTCAGCATGAGTATCTTAGCAGAGAGAATGTTTTATGACCTGGTGGATTTGAACTATCATGTGTACGATTAGGAGAAGGGGAAACATACACATCTGCTCTTTCCTTCACTCATCCCGTCTTGTTTTGTCCTCATTCACTGACTCGCACTCTACAAAAGAAGTAGCAGCAGAGGAAGAAAAAAAAGAAAGGGTGTGGGTGAAGAGACCCTCTTCTTTCTTGCACTGTCAGCTTCTTTGATGCCAGGCCTTTTAACCTCCGCCAAAACCCTCTAAGCCTCACCCTCGCCACTTTTCACTTTTGTCTAAATTTCACGTATGTGTGTAGTTGCACATTTAAGGTTTGTAGGGATTGCTCTGTCCACACAAATTTCTCAACTCTTTGCCTGGTCTGAAAAGTTCTTTCGTTGGGTGGACATCAGTAAAAGAGAAAAGACACAGTGGAGAGGAGGAGGAGGGGTGTTTGGCACGATGGCTTGCCAGCAGCCTACCTCAAATTCTTCGATAATGAGAGAGTTTCTGGTGCATGGGTTTGTTTTTCCAGAAGGTAACTGAAGCAAAGTTGCTAATGGCACATGTATCAATGTGGGAAAATCATTGAGACGGCTTTAGAAATGCCTGTGGCTGAGTCCATCTGTGTGTGTAAATATGTGTGTGTGCCTAAAGTTCATGCCAAGAAGACCGATCTCATTTCAGTGGAATCTCTTGCATACAGTCACAGGACTGAAGTCCAGATCTGCCCACTCAATTAATCCTTCGCTCCCAGAGCTGTAATAATAAAGTAGGATTTTATCCACGGGAATGGTGCTGGTTTATCTGTTTTGCTGCCTGCTCCTCTGCACTCTCAGACATTACAGTAGTCTACTGCAGTATTATGTCTTCCTATCTCTCTCGTTTCGCCCCCTCTGGCTGTCTGCTGCCGTGTTGACTTTGGCTCTCTCCACGCATTCAGCAAGAATTTGTCTCACTCATTACCCCACTTTTGTTTGCCTTCTGCTGGGTCCTTCTTATTTTTCTGCTTTGATGAGCTCGCCTGACTTTTTCCCTTCACATATAAAGAAAGGAGCCATTTTCTGCAGCTTTTGGACAAGAACAGGAAGCGTGCCTCATCTGCAAAACAGCTGGTCACACAAGACGAAAGTCAAACTGAAAGGTAGACAGAGGGAGAAAGAGAGGAAAGAAGAACAAGAAGGGAGCGAGGAATTTGTTGATGAAATGGGGTCGATGAGATGTAGGTCACCCTTTCCCTCCCTCCCTCCCATTAGAGTTATTTATCCGTGGAGTTTTAGCACTGTCATTGCGGCCAGTTTGAATAAAAACACACATGTTCTCATGTCAGGGGAGGAAAAAAGTCTTTATAAAACAATCAGAGGATTTATAACTAGAAATCTTTTCTAGCTTTATTCTGTGAGGCATACCTCTGGAGAAACATCTCATCATCTCCTTCCTCTCCCTCGGCTCTCACTGCTTCCTTCACTTCTCTCGCGCTTGTCGCTTTTCTGTGTTTTACTGCCAGGAAAAGTAAATCAGAGCATGACAGTCTGGATCTCATTTTGGCTTTAATATGTTGAGTCTGAGGTCCGCAGCTGCCTCCTGCCTTGCACTTTTTTAACTTTTTTTTTTTTTTTTTCCTTATGAAGCTAAATGAAACCAGACTCGCCTTGATCCTCTCTTTGTGAATACTCAGCAGAACCGTGCTGAGATAGAAAAAAGACGACTAATTATTTCTCACTTCCATAAGGTGTTTTGCATGTCGTACAGCAGGAAATCTAGTACAACATGTGTAGGATAAAAAAAAAAAAGGTCGTCTCATGTGAGCCATGCCACCAGATGTACCAGCGAGGAGAGCGTGTCTTTATGGTGTAAACACAAAATACTAACAACAAGATGAGTCTCAGCAGGAATCTGTGGGGGTTTTTTTTTTCTTTTCCCTCCAAGTCTTTAGCCGGTACACTGTCCAAAACAAAAAACAATGTGACACTCACGACAGGAGTAATGTCTGTTCAAATGGAAGCTCCGGTCTTGTTTACTACATCTGTAAACCACGTAATGACACACCGGTTTGTTTGTGAGGGAAAAGATGAAGAACAGATGAAAAAGAAATGCTGACTGCTGTCACTCTTCTATTGCTCAGAGACAGCTAAGGCTGAATCACCGCGAGTCATCACCGTCATCTTGCCTGAGCAAAGGCACCACTTTCTCCTGCCTCTGGGCTACGTCCTCACCTCCTTCCTGCTCCTGGCATTTGTTGTCCTCATCATCGTTGTCATCTTACGACGACGCACGACCAAAGGTGTGAAGCTGACGGCTGATTTCAGATAAATCACTCAGAATCTGCTTTTTTTCCCCCTTCTTTTGAATCTCATTAAATGTTCTTGTGTTTGCAGAAATGTATCCTCAGTCGTATATGGGGTGAGTGCTGACAATACACACAGACACACACACATATAACCGCTTTCTTCACCCACGTGTGTCCTCCTCACTGTGATAGGCCCAGCAGAAGTCAGAGCTGCTCAGATGAGTTTGAGATGGACGTTACTGAGGTGAATGTGTGCAGCCCGGAGGAAAGAAGATTCGGTGAGTTAAGAGAAAGAAAAGAGTGGAGTGTAAAAAAATATTGGTTCATCTCTCAGATGGGATTATATGTGGTCTTTCTGTGTTTAGACTACAAGAACAACCTGCTGAAAGAAAAAGCCCACGTGAAAACTCAGCCAAAATTCATTGATCTCGACAAAGGTACGCAGACACATGCGAACATCCATCATGAATCACCTGACACTCTCTTCCTCAAACTCAATCCATCTTTCTTTCTTGCAGAGATGCAGAAGTTCTCTAAGTGAAATAAAAGAAGTGGAACTGGAGTCACTGGCTGGTCCAGAGGCTGCGCTCCAAGCTAAACACCTCCATACCGTCTTCTGTCCTGTCAGGAGAGATGCCGCAGAGAGAAACGCAGTGTTGCAAAAATCTGTGTTGTGACATTCAGAAAAAGAACACTGAGGTTTTGTGTTGCCAAATTGTAGATATTAGATACAAACAGGACTGTGAAAAAGTATACGCCCCCTTCCTCATTTCTTAGTTTGTTTGTGTATTTGTCACACTTACACTTACAAATTTTACTATTAGACAAAGATAATCAGAGTAAATACAAAATCCAGTTTTCACATGGTGATTTCATTTATTAATTGGTTTAAAAAAGAAATATCCAAAAATGCTCTGGGATTCCAGTGAGCCAGAGTGAGAGCCATTATCCACAAACGGAGAAAACTTGGACCAGTGCTGAACCTTACTAGGAGTGGCTGCCCCATTAAAATTGCTCCAAGAGCGCATCGACAACTCAGGGCAACTCCAGGAGTTCACAAAAGAACCCAGAACAACATTTAAAGAGCTGCAGACCTCACTTTTCTTAGTTAAGGTCAGAGTTCATGATTCAACAGTTGGGAAAAAAATAATAAGACTGAGCAAAAATGGCATCCATGGGAGAGCTCCAAGGAGAAAACCACAGCTGACTGAACACAACAAAAATCTCATCTCACATTTGGAAAATATTCTGTGGACAAAGGCTGAACTTTTTGGAAGGTTTCAGTCCCGTTACATTGTGTAAATCTAAAACAGCATTTCATAAAGAGAACATGGTGGTGGCAGTGTTGGCTAATCGATGGAACCATTAATTCAGCTCTCTACCTAAAAATCCCGTCTGATCGTCAGTTCGTGTTTTCGCAACAGGACAATGGTCCAAAACACACCAGCAAGGCCACCTCTGAAATGTTTAAAAAAGTGTTTTGGAGTGGCCTAGTCAAAGTCGGGACTTGAATCGGATTGAGATGCGTGGGCCAAAATTCCTCCACACTGGTGTCAAAGACTCATCGACAATGATCACAACCACTTGATTGTGAAACTTGATTGCCTAATAACTGGTTGTGCCACAATGAGGGTGAATACTTTTTCACACAGGGCCGGCTTGGTTTGGATCACTTTTTTCCCCTTAATAAATAAAATCATCATTTAAAAATTCAGGTTATCTTTGTTTGATGATCTGAAACATATAGCTGTGACAAATATGCAAAAAAATCCTGGAAGAGGGAAAATTCTTTTTCACTGCACTAAGATTGACCTGGCTGCGAAAGGAAGGAGAAATGTGTGCACAGATCGCACAGAACTGACTCACTTCTGAGTTGGTTAAGATAAAGTTCCAGCCTGAATCATTATTCCTTTAGTTAGAAAGTTTTTAATGCTGATTTTGCTCTTTTTCTTTTCCTCCCATAAGTGCCACTGAAGTGTTACCATAACTCTGCACTGCATCCAGTAGCTGCTGACTAACTGTATGCTCACTCACCACCAAGCAGAATATGTGAAACGTTGTTTTGTATCCACGCTCTGATGCAGATATTTTTTATTGTACACTTGCTTAGTGGGCATCACCCTGCTTCTTTTTTCCTCTGTGAATGTAGGAGGCGTGTTTCGCAGCAGTTTCTCTTACCCTTTGTTGGATTTAGTCATGTTATAACCAGTATAGCAACCGTCTCACACAACTTCAAACAACGCAGTTAAATCAAAATACAAACCAGCTGGTTAAACAACGCTGTTGTAAATTCTCTGCTGTCACTGCTGCTGTTACTGTGTGAAATCAAAATATTGCATTCAGCCAAGTGGCTCCTGGTACTTACAGGCAGGCATTTTTATTAGTTAAAACCACAAAAAAATCTGGAAGGTGAAATTTTATTGTTTCCACTCTGTGTGAGAATAGATGTTTACCTCACTTTCTATTTTTGGGCTTCATCTTCGTTCATCCCACAAGTAGTGCCCATTGTGGAAAAGGAAGTTAGAGAGCAGAAGTTCTTAGCCATTTAAAAACTCCTGGGTTTCTGCTTTCACTCGTCTGAGCAGATCTTGTACCCCGGTTTTATTATTATTATTATTATTATTGTAATATTCTGATGTTGCTTGCTGTATTTGTATTTGACGGCATCAACTTGATTTCTCTCGTGTGTTGTGCGCCCCCTAGCTTAGTCTGCATTAACTACTACAAAGTAAAATCCCAGCATTACAGTGTCTAAGACATAAAGGAGGACACCATCCTACTTGCAGTACTCTGTGTGAATAACACTCCACTCTTAAAGAAAAAAAGATTGCTGTTACATCTGCTGTGGCTTTTGCTTTTCTCAGTTAGCCATGCTTGATACTAATTTAACTACCTATTGTGTTGTACTGTACTGCTAATCCAGTAAAAATGAAAAACAAAAGACAGACTGTGTGTTGCTGTGTTCTTTCATTTCTAAGCCAGCAGATATGATCTCTCCAGCATTTCCTGCTCTGTCCAGGAGTCTCCTCAAATGACAAAATATCAAATTCAACTTTAAAAATTCAAACATGAAATTTAGGAGGAAGGTCTTCTTTAGTCAAAAAATAAAATAAAATAAAATCCAGGAGCATGAGTTTAATGTTACGTAAAAACTTGACTGACACTCATGTCGAACTGCAATTTAGGTTTTATCTCATTTATTCATTCCTTTGTGTCACAAACAGTCCCTGAATTCAAGACAAATGGCTTTTTATACACTTTGTGAAGTTCATTTTGTGTACATTTCCTATAAAATACATGATACTGTTATATACTTTCAATCTAAAAACGGTAGAAAACCACGTTCTGTCTTGCACTGTTGGACAAGTGTATCGAAAGAAGCAGCTCGCAGTCGGCCAGCACGCACACTTTTACACATCCACAAGCTCACCTGTGATTTAAATTCAGTACAGGAAGAAGAAACGAAACATTCACAGAACTACAAGAGGCTAGTTAGTTCTTCCCGGTCTCCCTTTCATACAAACATGCATCCAATCAGGCAGACAGCTGCAGGGTATAGAAGGAAATTCATTTACTTAGTAAACACAAGATGAGCGGAAATTTGGGGCCACACTGTGTTTGTTTACAATTAAGAGGTAAGCTACAGGTATTACAGGGCGATGACCGGGCAGGATAGGTCGGTGGAGAAAGGACTTGCTACAGGAAGTTTTGAGTAACGGGCTAGATGTGTCTTCTAGCACCAAGTTCAATTTGAAATGATCAAAATGCGGAAAACGGCCCATTCTTATTCCCAGGACATCATACATGCTTGATGGCAATGTAGGGCTAACGCTGAGAACCCAAAAGCACAATCTTTACCTAAACTTCACCAAGAACCTTTTGGTTTCCAAAGCTTTCAAATAGGACACAAACCACAGCCTTCTAAAGCAGATATTATTACTCTGTACAAGTTACACAAAGAACACCTTGTGTTTATGTCCGCATTGCCAGAACGACAGTATATGATACCCTGGGATGAGAACGCTTTGAAGGAAACAAGCCTACGGAACAAGAGTGTAAATTCCAGTAACAACACCATATTCAAATCTAGGTGTCCTAAAACAGAAAAGCAGCAAATGTGTCTTTATCTTAGTGTCCCTCGGTGGGGGGTGAATTAATTAAAAAAAAAAAAAAAAAAAAAAAAAAAAAAATAAATCACAAATGTCTTAATTATGTCACCGAAGGAGCTGATGTAGTACACATACTGTACATCCTGGACTCAGTGTTACTGGAGAAGAGTTTGACGTATGTTCTTATACTCTGGGCCAGCACCATCTTCATCTTCCCAGCCAGTCACTCCTGTTCTACAGACCAGGTGTACACACACAGTGCTCATGTTTATCCCAGGGCACTTTCCATATATGGTTCATAGATCTGAACAGTCTTAAATACAGCCTAAACCCCCCTCATTAGGGGCTCTATTAACACATAAAAGGAAAAACGTAATATTCATGGTCCAATAAGAACAGCCACATTAAGCAGAGTGAAAGAAAATGCCCATCTCTCGCCTCCTCTGTTCCTTAGGGCCTGGTCCAGCCTCTGCGACCTTTATTAAACATATTAGATTTTACACTAAAGCACAGGGATCCACTCCTTCAGACTGGTCAAAAGAGATGCATGGTGAGAGTTGTTGAGGTTCCTGACAGGGCTGGCACACTGTAAACCTGATGACGGGTGATTTCTGGTCAGAGTTCTCAAGTGTCAACCACGAGTCCGATCGGGTCATGCTGAGGGCTCTCCAGAAGTGAGGAACTGTCAGGTGCAGCCGGGTGAGTGGGGTGGGACATGCCTGCACCTGAGCTGCAGCTCACACAACCCTGAGAGAGACAGCAACGCATTAAACACACGGTCACAGGAAACGAAAACAAAAATGTTCACAGTGAGTGATTCGTGGCGATACCTGTGTGTCTATTTCCTGTGGGATGGCATGCTGTTTGATCCATGGATGGACTTCAGCCAGCTCCACTCTCTGCTCTTGGCTGAACCAGGGCTGGAGGGGCTGAAGCACTCGAAGCTTCTCCCTGTCCTCCGCCAAAACCTTGTTCTGGTCCCTGCGGGGAGAGAAAGCATGAGATGATAAAGGATGATGAAGAAAAGGTAAAGGGCATGAAGATGAACTGTCTCCCCCATGTGTGACAAAAGTGGTATTGCACAGGGGTGATTCTCACACCTGTGAGGGGCATATTTGTTTGGGTTTCTAAACAGTATGGCACGTCGACACACCTGAAATGTAACCTGGACATAATTTGGCCGCTCCTGTCCAATCAAAATGGGCTTTGAGGGAATGCAAAGAAGTGACCCAAGTTTATCAGAATGGAAACCAACATGATCTTTCTGCTTTTAAAGGTGGATTAAAGAGATACCACTTCCTGCTAAACTGAAGGGATTCAGTGTAGAAAAGGCGGTTCATAGTCTCTGAGGCTGATTCATGCTGCTCTGTAGTATGCTTTTGGTTTATATCTTTTCACCCATTGCTTGTCTTCTTGTTTGTGCTTTTGTAAAAAAGTTAAATAAAAAAGAAAACATGTATAAGGCATAAGAAGTCCATCTAACTGGTATAAATATAAATAAGCACAGTACTGTGAAGACGGCTTTGGTGTTTATTGTACTCCCCGATTAGATAATATCATTACATAATCAAATCATCAGGTAGCCCTTTTGCTGTACCATTTGGCTTTGAATAAGCGAAGCCATCAGACAAAAAGACTAAATACCTTGCCACATTAAACAAGGTGAGACATTTAGATAAGATGACAGTGTTTGAGAATCATGAAAATGACTGCTAAAA